AGGTGGGAGGGGGCTGCTGCAGCCGCCTTATCGGGAAAGTCAAACCCACGTTTCCTTTTAACTCTTCCCCCCCGTTGCCCTCCCCCGGGAGATGCTAAAGAAGCCTTCCCCCTCCCGGGTAATGCCAGGCGCCCTGCAGACGGTCTGAGACAACACCTCCGGGACAGTTGGGCAAAAGGCAGATTACCCCCTCCCGCCTGGCCACAAGCACCCATTCAGCTTCACAAAGCCAGCCGCTGGGAAAGCTCCTCTTATTTTACGCATATTCTGCAAATTGCCTGAACTTCAGTCCGCGCCCCTCCGCCCCAGCCCGAAGGGACCCAGAAGGCATTTTGCAGTGGGACATCGGGCCGGGCCGGCCGATCCTCCTTTTTCTCCCCTTGGTAGGTCCGCTAACAGGACCAGATGCAAACCTCCAGCGCATTTATTTGCAAACATACATTCGCCTGAAAATCCTTACGGGAAAGCGCGTCTCCCCCTCCTCCGACCTAGCGCTTCTCCCCTTTCCATCCACCAAGAGCAGGGAAGCAGCATTTGCCTTTTTGTGTGTGCATGTGTGTGATAACACGATTCCCCACTTCCAAAAGCCAAAGTCCACTCTCGCAGAGCTCAAGTGCCATGATTGCTAACTTCTCCTAGCTGGGATTGGCAAAAGGGCGAGCAAGGGGGCCGGGTTTCGTGTTCGGCACATTTGGGGAAGTTTAAAACGCAAGGGGCTTCTTTGCGTGCTGTGGAAAAACCCCGTGTCTCGCTGGCTGGGAGAAGGCGAGCCTAAAGGGGAGAAGTCCTCTGCCCGTGAATTTCTGTTTTGTGTCCGGAGCCTGTGCAAGGCACCCCCACCCCCATCCCCACCGCACACACACCAACCACCTCCTCTTCTTTCAAAGTGCTTTGAAACCCCCATTAAGGGCCGAGTGTGTGATCAGACTATGGATTAGGGCAAAAGGGACTTTACCATCGGGGTGGGGCAAACTGACACACAAATAGATTGCTGAAAAAACCAGCAGCCTTTTTTTTCG